GTGTCTTTGGAGTGGCTGGTGGAGCTCATGGGTGTGTTGGAAGGGGTGTGCGTTTCCCGGTAAGAGGCGGTTCTGTTCAGGGCGGCGCTTGCGCTGGCCATTTTTTGGGGGGCTTTGCGCATGGGTGAGCTTGTCTGTAGAAATAGGCAGGGTTTGCAGTGGGGTGATGTGGGTTTCAATGGTGATCTGGTGGAGGTGCAGGTCCGTTGTTCTGAGAATGATCAGTTGGGTTGAGGGGCGGTGTTTGTCTTGGGCGGGGTGGAACCGGAGGCGGTTTGCTCTGTGTCTGGTGTCGGGGTTTTTTATGGACAGGGGGCCAGGCGTCTGGGCCCCCCCCTTTTGTTGCGGCGCACAGATGATTCTTCCGTTTCTGCCGGGGTTTTTCGCTTTGTTTGGCTGGAGTCGGCAGTTTCATACTCATTTGTTTCGGGTGGGGGCAGCAACCGAGGCTGCCAGGTGGGGTCTGCCTCCTGAGGTCGTTCGGAGGATTGGCCGATGGAAGTCGGATTGTTTAAGGGTTTAGGTTCGCCCTCATCTTTTGTGGTGGGTGGGGATGGTGTGGTTTTTCCTTTCTTCTTCTGCGTGTGCCTCGCTGATGTTGTTTTTTTTGCGGGAGGATGGGCCGATGGAAGTTGGGTTGGTTTAAGGGTTTGGGTTCTTGGTGTGGTTTTTCCTTTCTTCTTCTGTGTGTGCCTCGCTGATGTTATTTTTTGCAGTTTTTGCTTGTGTGGTTAATTGTCTTGTTTGTTACAGGGTTCCGGCAAGGCTTGGTGTGGATATTGGGAGATTCCTACGTCTTGTTGGGGGGGATTAGGGCTGCCGCAGGCAGCTGTGGGTCCCCTGGGGACGTTGCCACATTGCAGTGGTTGGGAGTTCGGGGCATGACATGGAGCCGGGTCTTGCTGGAATTTCATTATTTTCCTGACTTGATCGGCCTCCGGACGTTTGGGTGTTGCACGTCGGGGGCAATGATCTGGGGGTGCGTGCCTCCAGGGATTTGATCCGGGACATACAATTCGATTGGCTGCGCTTTAGGCAGGAGTTCCCTGGGGTGGTGGTGGTCTGGTCAGATATCGTGGCCAGGAGGGTGTGGCGGTATGCCCGATCGGTGGAGCGCCTGACTAAGGCCCGGATCAAGCTCAATTGGGTGGTGGGCAAATTTGTCGCTCAGCTGGGGGGCCTTGTGGTACGGCACTCGGATTCAGAGAATTGCACAGTCAAGTACTGGAGGGATGACGGTGTGCACTTGACTGCGGTTGGCACAGACTTTTGGTTGCTGGGTCTCCATGGTGGGATCCTGCGAGTGGTGCGGGTGTGGGGTGACTCGCTTAAGTGAGGTGTCACTCGTGCTTGTGTGGCGGGTTAGGGGGGCTTTGGGGGGGGGT